TGTCTGTCCGGGCCCGCTGTCTGTCCGGTCAGGCCGCTCTGCGGACGGGCCTGAGCAGGCCTCGGCCGGTGCTGCCCAGGCGCAATGCCCCGGGCTGGCTGTCGGGTTGGGCTCAGCAGCAGCCGGGATGCTGCAGGAGTGGGTCAGGATGGCTGCAATACCCAGTCGCATCCCGCTGTGCAGACAGGCTCCCTTCCCCTTGGGATGCATACTCCTAGGCTCTCGGGGGAGGTTTGGGGGGAAGTTGCTGCAGCCTCCAGCCCGGGTAGCAGCGCTCTCCTGGCAGCATTCCCCGAAGCGATGCATGCTCATTACTCGCTTTTATCAACCGGGGAGCCGTTTATTCCCCAAACATCTGAAACTACTTTACACAGATTCCTCTATGTTTCTTAACAGCTGCCACAGCTTTTTCAGGGCTTGCCTGCCCCAGCCCCCTGCTCTCTCCCCCCTCCACGGTGCTGCTGGCTCCTGCGGGTGCTGCTCGGGCCACGGGGCCACGTGGGACAGTGGCACCGGCTCTCGGCATCCACATTCCTGGCTCCTTCAACGGCTCCTGCTCTGGCAGCTAACGGGATTGTTAAAAGTAAGATTTTTGCTGCTGTTTCTGCCCCGTGACCCGTGCCAGGCTCTGGTTTTGCTGCTGCTCGGCCTCAAAGGGCGAGCGAGCAGCTCCAGCGCGGGAGGTTTCCAGCTGAGCTTGTCCTCTAGCAGCAGCACCGCAAACCCTTGTTTCTGCAGCGCTGTTTCCAGGGTTTAACCACAAAAGGTTTCTCTACAAAGGGCCCCCGGGCTCCTCTTTCAGTCAGCCTCAAGAGCCTCACGTTTTTAGCCAAAAAAGGAAATGACCCAGCTGCACGTAGCAGTGGAACATCTGGATTTTATCCCTGTCATGAATGGGTCATGGGCTATGCACGGCCCAGTGCCTGATTTACGGGAGTGGGAGGGTGATGTCATGCACAAACATCCCCCGAGACTCCCGGAGTGCGGGTCTAAAACAGTCATGAAAATATTATTAAGCGCAGGCAAACAGTGCAGGGGGGGAGGTGGGAGCAGGGAAACTCGCTGGGAGCCCAGGCTGGCACTGGGGGTGTACAAAGAGCCCCCGGCAGTACCCAAACATGCACGAGCTGCACTCCCCTGCACTGCCCGCTGGTGCCTCAGCCTGGCAGGAGCTCAGCCTGGGAATGGGATCAGGGACCCCCGACGGGCAGTGGTGGGGATGGGTGCAAAGACAGGGACATGATGCTTCTTGGTGGGTGGAAGCAGCCTCGTGCCACAGCCCAGGGCCCTGGAGGCAGCTCGGCTCGGCCGTGGGGATGGCTGCTCGCTGCTGGCTGTGCAGCGGTACCCGTGCTGGGCACGTGCCGGCTGGGCACTTCCTCCCCTGGAGACGGACACGGCTGCTCCTGGCCCGGGCTCGAGTGGGCAGTGGTTTCATTTTCCAGGGGGTTGTTCTCTTTTCAGCCCGTTCCCCCCGAGGACCGCTGGGGC